AAAAACCTACTGTTCTAATTTCAAAGAATTCATAAAATCGATTCATATTTGGCAGAGTAATTGCGTAATAAACACAAAAAAAACAAAAACAGTCGAATTGAGAACCTTCTCCTTTTCTGAAGTCGTTTAAAAATATTAATTGTTGTTGTTCGCGCTCTCCTCTTAACGATACCGTATCATGTCTATCGAAATATTCATACATATAAGTACAGAAAGTTTTAAGTATAGGTATTAGTTATGCTGATGTAAGGAAGTTTGAATGATGCTTTACATCGTATAACAACGAATAGGCAACTTTGAATCGTGGGATATAACTTTGTTAACAATTGTTGTTCGTCTATGTTTGAATGTTACTCTATTACCTAAGTCATGAATAAAGTTGTTGAGTTAGGAGCCTTGTATGAAGTTCATAATTCATTTATGATAAAAAAAAATAGTTCATAACTTGAGCATTTCATAAAGCATTATAGTTCTAGACTTTTATGTATCTATATTCTGGAAACTTTGTAGACTTTTCTGTAATTTATTTTAATGTTTGGATATAACATAACTTTCTTACGGATCAAATGATGAAAGTAATTTAAACACATTTTCATTAGTTTCATTAGTGTTATAAAAAAATGTTTATAAAAGGATGACCTTTTATAAACATTTTTCTATAACGAAATTTATCCTAAAGAAAAATGAAAAAAGCAGTCACAGGTGCGGGAATATTCTGAGTATAATCCATGGAATCAGTCAATCTATCCATTACTAGACTTATATTTAATGAAAACATTTTTCAGCCACGGAAAGAGGTAGGGGTAAGAGTGTCCACCTTCCGAGTGAAAGCAACCCCCAGACTCAGGGTCAACTTAAAAAAGTAAAGGCTAAGTTAAACTTAAAGCCATTTTTTTGATAAATTATTGTGCTTGGCAGATTCATGAAAGAAATGATCTTTGAGTGGACTAAATAGGTATTATGTTGTTTTGCTTGCAAGCAATATTCCAAATTCCGAAAAAATTAGTCATCTGCTGGAGTAAAATCGAAGATTTTTTTAAATAAAAATAGAGTTTTTAAATTATGTTTACTCATATTCGTGTACAATATGATATTAAAGTTCGCCGTTTTATTAATGACTTTGAATTAGATATAACTAATCATTTGATGGTAAAACAAGTAAATCAATCACTAAATTCGACATCTAAACGCCATTAGGATTATCGAATATAGAAATACGTTATTCTAAGTTTGTATTGAATTTGACATTCTGAAATTAATAGGCTACGGCACGAGGTACTATAGATAATTATAGGTTATAATTATTACTTATTTAACTCATTTATTTATTTATTTAACTTTATTTAACTCATAGTATGTTTAACTCATTTACCGACTTTAAAATCAAAAAGGAGGAAGTAAGTCATATGTTCGACGGCGACGTACCTTTTTTTGTGTTCACCGATTTCTCCGCGTATTGTTAACCGATTTTCAAATATTTTTTTTCGTCAGCATTATGGACCGAGAATCATTTACAAATTATCGAAATCGTATCTTTGCATCCGATAACATCTAAATATTCAGATGATATTTTATATCAGCGAAAAAACTAAAGATTGCGTATTTTACATTGATCCAAAATCCGAAAAGAGAATTTTCTATGTTCAACGAGCATGTTTATTTTTTATAAAAGTAGCTATTCAATTGTGAGCCAATTTCTATCAAATTAGCTGTTTCCACGACTTTGCCTGCGTAAATTATAGCCAATGTCCCCCGCGGGAACTACATAAAATGTAGTTTCCCGTAAATTAATTTTATATTTTTAAAAGTATTTTATATAATCGGTAAAATAGTTTTGGAAAATTCAAACAAACAAGTAAATATATCAATATCAATAAAAAACAATCTTTATTCCAAAAAATAGAACCATCTTCAATCTTTAAGGAAAAGAAAATTCCGGACTTATTCAGTAGTTATCTTAAAAGGACTTATTCAATAAACTGCTATTGAAGTTGGGCGGCTATCATTTAATTAATAACCTAAAGAAAATCTCCACCCGACTTCAATAGCAATTTCTTGAATAAGTCCTTTTAAGATAAGTAATCTTTCTCACTTTTTCAAAGTTTCATGTCGGTTCTATTAAAAAAAATTACTACATCTTCTATAGTTAACATTTTTTAGAAAATTATTTCATTAGCATGTTGAAATATTTACATAATATCGAGTCTCAACTGTAATATAATTAGATACCATGTGCTATTAAAACGATTAATTAAACAACAATTATAGAGCCTAACAGCCTTTTAATTAATGTCTTATAGCTTTTTCGTAATAGGCAGAACGTTAAGTGATTTTGACGGAAGGTAGATATGTAATAAAATAAAAATATTATATATAAGACATGTTCTCAGTGACGTATTGGCATTTAGTACTGCCGATAGTATTCGATTATTCGTAAGAGACTTCATAATCTATTGAAGGCAATTTTTAAATTATATTTTCAGTCTTAACCGAGTAGTTTGTACGCCGGTTATGAGCCACCTCTGAGGTCGTTCGTTTTCCGGTCAAGTCAACGTAGAAAATTTACTTTTCTGTACTGTCTCAGGGTTGGGTGTTGTGATACCTTCGTTTGTTTCAAACACTCCATAATTAATAGAGTGCTTTAACTGACCTTGGAATCTGAACAAAGTATAAGATGTTATCTAAAATGTTTATTTCTTTATTAATATGAATGTATTTATTGTATATCTATTATTTATCTATGTATTTTTTGTTCTTGTTTTTCATGTTGGTTCTATTTATTTGTCACTGCTAGTGGTATTAAGTTTACTTTTCTTACTACGTTATTCACTAATCTATAGTTTCTATGCTAATATCATTAAGAGAGAAGATTTGATCGTTTTGTTTGCTTACATCTAATAGGCAACAAAACAAGTAGACCAGATTTAAAAACTCTTTGACCTACGGGATATAGAGGTGACATAAACTACAATTTACGCGGGCGAAGTCGCAGGAAACAGCTGGTGACAAATTGACAATCTATAGATTAATAATCAGTTATGTTGGTGATCAGCATCCATCACTGGGAGACAATTACGGGAATTGTAGGTTATATAAATAAATAATGCAATTAATTATGAGTAATTTACGTATATTTCCTTATTTTCAGAAGAAGACTTACATATAAGGTGCATAAATAGGAAAACAATTATGTACAGACAAACACACTTACCATTTAAATAATATTATTAAGGAAGACAGCCTGCTGCCTGATCCTTTACTATAAGTAGAAATGGTGTAGTTTTCTATATCAGTAATGACTTTTTCATTAACTTCTTGAATTTGAAAGAGAAAGGAACTACACCGTTTTAGCTCATTATCATGTAGTTTACACCTTACTATTAGGCTATGCACACACTGGTGGCTTTTTGTCATTCTACTTTCTCTCCACAGTCCACCGTGCTCAAGAGTATCTCTTGTCGTGTGCACTTGAACACATGACAATAGCACGTGTTACATCAATTTTCTCTCGCCCGCTTTTGTTTGTATAGTAGAAATTTAATATTTTTTTAATTTACAGTTTGAAAGTATTAAAATTTTTATCCAATATTAAATCATTGCTATATATTTAGATGCAAGAAGCAACTAAGCCATTAATTTCCAAAAGATAAAGTATTTGAAAAACTTTGTTTTTTACTACATGTGCTGCCATCTACGGCGACCAGCGCCTATTAAGCAATTTCCATAGAAATTTCAGGAGCACGATGACAAAAAGAATAAAACATGATGACGAAGTATCTCCAGTGTGTACGAAGCCTTACGTTCAAAACATAACGACGTAATAAAAAATACGTTAAATTATAAGTCACAGGCTGTCACGGTGGTGGACAATACAGTGGCAAAATGACAATAATTGAAACCCCATGAGACACCATTAAGCAGAATCGATACACAGATGATAATTTTACTTTTATGTGTGAAAGTTGTCCAAGTAACGTCATCCGATTAGGTATAAAACATTAATGACATCTTACATTAAAAAAAAAACGATTATTTTGCTTTACAATGAAATTCTGTATCAGTTACACATATTATGATGCATGATGATTTATATTACTATCCCAGTATGGTGTTAAACTAGTAAGGTTGTTTTTTTTATTCAACTTCTCAGTTATAACATTTTATTTGAATTTATTATTTCTAGAAGTTACTTACTATACTGTTACTCTTAAGTCTAAGATTCTAGACGAAATTTCCTCGTCTAGAATCTTAGACTTTTTTTAAATCATAAATATAATATAAATTGAATGTCTATTATTATAAGCCTAACTTATCTTGATACTTATCGTAACAGTCACGATCACAAATGACTAAATAAAAGGTTTACAAATATTTTCATATCGTCGAAGTTCTACACTTAATACACTTGCGTACTTAATATCAACACAATATACAACCATAGTTTATACAAGGAACATTATAACTAGTCACAGAAATAAACCACAACACTCGACCACCTACATAACCCAATGCAATAACTATTTACAACGCTTATAGTTAAAAATAATTACTATAGTGAATCGTGCAAAAGCGCTTAAATTGAGGTAATAACTTAAAGTGTGTTACTGGTGACTACTAATTGACTATTCGTATATTATAATTCTTAATTTATTTCTAAATAACATCTCGAGAACATCAGCCATAACCTAAGGTAACAGAATTGTCATGGATTGTAAAATACGGCGTAAATGTAGGGCAAAATATGGTAACACTGACAGCAGTGTTGCCATTCTAATTTCGATGACCTTATCATTCCGAATTAAATTTAGACTATAATTTTGATTCTATCGATCAATTGACGTATCTACTAGCCATTGATGTTTAATTTGGCAATAAAATATTTTAATAGCTTCCTTTATGTTAAACAAGTGGGAATTTATTGATACTACAGTTAGTATCATGAAAATGCCTCGTAAATTTTACAGGGCCGTAAACTGTACCACCGAGTAGCTTAACAACCATTATATAACTACGCCGCTCCTAGAAATTATTTTTGTCGTCGTTTGTTCTTTAGTTTTCTCTTCTTTATCTAATTTCAATTTGGATGATTGTATTTTCTTCCATGTGTCGCCTAAGGCTTTGCTGAAATGATCGTCGACACCTTTAGTTTGTGTTTTATCATTTTCTTTTAGTCTCGAAGTTTGTATTTGCCGCCAGGTGTCTCCGAGGGCTTTAGCAAAGTGATCGTCCACTGATAAATTGGCATCGTCCACTTCCATAGCTATGATTTTGGTTGGTTTCGGTGGTTCTTCTGGTTTGAACTGGATAGGACTGCTCGCTCTATCCTTTGTATTGGGCTTTGGTCCAGGTTGTGTGTTTGTTGTAATATTGTCGGAGTTTTTCTTGAATAGATTCATGTAGTCATCACCGAGTGAGCGTCTGAAGTGTTCGTCGATTACTGGATCGCACATTGACATTGAACCTGCGAGGTAAAGGGTAAATATTATTTTATGGATTAAACAAATCAACAAAGTACGAATCGGTATGGTTCACTAAGATCCTTATAGATTTTTTTATTATTAATAAATTCCTGTGTTTCTATTATAAAATTTTAGAGCCCGTTAAAGTTTCCGAGGTATTTTTAGCAATTACAAGTTTTTTTGTTTGATATCTACCTTTTTTACTCTCCAAGAAAACCTTTGTGGAAAATTTATTTATTTCTGTTGCACATTTTCAAAGAGAGAGGATGGGTCATTATCATACACGCAAGCCCATTATTGGCGTTAATGACTGTAGATGTACCTTCCGAAACAGAGAGGTGTTCGGATATTAAATTTTTGGTCATCTATTCTAGACCCTCCTTGATAAAGTTGCTTAACTTCGATATTGTAGACCAAGCACGCTATTATTATTATTTGTTAGTTCTAAGGGTTCATGTAAGTAAGTCACTGCGACCCGAAAGATCTTTTGTGACTCACAGCCAAAATCATTGTAGTTCTTATACGGTCAGTTGCACAAACGTCCATTAAGGTTTAATGACGCTTTTAAGTTCTAATAAATGTCATATTAGCATGGGTAATGTCGCTTTAAACTAATGATAAATTTAATGGACGTTTGTGCAACTGACTGTCAGCCCGGTAGCAATAAAGAAGTCTACAATTTTTCTTGGCTTTTAGGGTTTTGTCTCTTCTGGGTGGATTATATGTCGTCCCAGATGTAGGCTTCGTTTCTGAATCAGTGGTCCACATTCACTTATGAAATGTAAATAAATGTGCTAACAATAGGTTGATGACTAGTTTAAAGAAATAAATTCTATTTAGTCCGTTAGCCAGATAATAGAAAAAAAATAAGATACGTTTATTTTTGCTTCAATTTAACGAAGAAATGGCTTAGATAATATACATTAAAGTTGGAGAGTGGGGGCTCGCTACGTCACATTTTTATTGAAAATGTACTAAAGCGTGACATTATGTAACATTTCAACGCAATCTAAAAATAAAATAAATTGTGTATTTAATATTCTTCAATAAATCTACCTGACGCACAAACAAACAAAGATTTGTCATTATTCTAATTTATAATATATATTTTTTATTATTATGAAGGTAAGAACGTTTACCTGGTGGAGCGTCGTTGCTCTTGATAACTGAGGGTCTGTTATAAGGAGGTGGTGCTGGACGTGATCGTAAGCACATGTCGATTGGTGCTTCGTGTCTGCTCGGGTACTCTGGCGGCGCACCTATTGACAAAGAAAATATTGATATGAATTGTTGTTTTAAACCTTTATGGTCAGCAACATGATAATTATACTTATACTGTACAGGATTGCTGGCATATCTATACTAATATTATAAAGAGGAAAGATTTGATTGTTTGTTTGCATCAACTGGGCTCCGCAACTTCTAGACTGATTTCAAAAATTATTACACCTACACGACAAAGGCTCTAATTTACGCGAGCGCGAAGTCGTGGAAAAACTGTTGTTTCTTACAATTATATGGTCTTATTTTGGCGCTGATATAACATCATCTCACTTATATTATAAATGCGAAAGATTGTGAGTATGTATTTAAGTATGTTTTTTACTAATTCGAGCAAAAACTCCAAATGGATTTTGAAAACATTGGTATATGGATAATTCTACCTCTGACTCAACGTATAGGCTACTTTCTATCTCATTTAACAGGTCTTTAGGACCACGCGGGCGAAGCCGCAGACGGAAAGCTAGTAATAATATAGGCGTGGGTAAATATTACGTAAATAAAATGTTATCTCAGTACTTGCTTTTGTATTGTGAAAAATGTGTTGCGATTTATAATTCATTTTTCATAATACAAAAAGAACTACAAACATTGAAATATTAGCGAACAATTTATCTCTTTAATGGGTGTCCCTTCAGTATCTTGGCACTGAAACTACCCTAACACACTTTTCCTAACAAATAAATTTCACAGCAACAGTTATATAACTCAATTAGCTACGGTCAAAGTAACAACTTGCAACATTAAAAGGTACTAAGAGCACCAATTTTGTGACTAAATCAACCTTGTGCTTATAAAACAAATATCATTATTGCGTGGTTACGAATTGCTGATATATAGTAGGCATAAAACGAAAGCTACTTAGTAAGAATAAATTGGAAGCGTCTACAGGTTAGGTTAAAAGGCTCCAAACAATATTTCAGAGTTTTATGCGATTTTAAAAGCATGTTGGAGGATATGGAATCATATTTAAAAAATCGACCTACATAATCATCGTAGTGTGTATTAAGGTTCGTAATATGCTAAATCCACTTAATGACATTAAGAATAGGAAGTTGGAGTGGGAGAGATATTTCGAGAAAATTGTTTCGTTATAAATAACTCGCTCGATAAGGCAAAAGAGACTACTTCCTCTGCTACTCCTTAGATGACTATCTTCCAGCTCCATCGTCACCAGACCTAGAAAGCATCCAGTACTAAAGTCCTTATAAAGACGGCGCTAACGAGCCGAAACACCTTGGAGTTGAGTCATATCGTCACTAAGTTCCTATGACCATCTTCGGACTTCATCATCATATCAGCTTACTGACACCATAATATTACATTGTTATTTGGCTTACACGTGTAACTAAAAAGAGGTTGACTGACTAAGATTTTTCTTACTATACGTAAAAGCAATTCCAGCAGGCGTTTGTCCAAACCAAAAGATCATTATTTTTTTAAATATCTTGATAATTTTAGGAAACTAATTTTTTGAGCTGTTATTTAAATATTCGAGGTGTTATTATGATCAGTTGAAAAACATATTGAGCAGTTATTTAATTTAATGGCGGTTGATTAATTATTGCGACAGTAAAACATGGACAGTAATGAAAAACCAATTAGTCGGTTATTTTATCATACAATGTCAATTCTAAAAATAATTGAGCAGTCAAATAGAATGAGCGGTAAAAATGATAGAATGAGCGGTTCGATAAATAGTTCGGTAGATCATAGCGTGCAGTGACACCCGAACTCAAATTCATTGAAAAGAGAGGTAAATCTTCGTTAGCTGGTCGGAGCTTATTAGCGCGGGTGGCGGAAGAAATGGTGAACGAGTGGTCCCTAAAGTATACACATAACCCTTCTGAAAACTATTTTGCAAAATTGCTTGAAATAACTTTGAAAGACTGGACAGATTCATATAATTTGGCCAAACTACCGAAAGATATTGTAATCATACCTTATAAAAATAATGATAGTTTGAAGCATTATCAAGTACCTGCTGCAGAAGCTAAAGAATGCACAATAATTGAAAATCTAACAGAAAATTTTGATGGGTTTAAAGAGCAATTTTTTAATAAATGGGAAGTTTTATTGCCGCAAAATAAAGAAGAATGGACTCAAGGAACATGTACTTGCCCAAACTTTTATAAAATATATATGTGTAAACATCTAATTGGCTTGTCCATACACTTGAAGTACGCCGTCCCTCCTAAAACATCCTCCTAAGTTGAAGCTAAAACATTCCACTCGGACAAAAAAAGAAGAGAGGCAGACCGTCGTAAGCCAAAACTACTCTTAATATACAATATAATTTATTATGATACAATTAGTTTTATTTAATTTCTTCAGTCAAAGCAAAAGTAATTAAATTTTTCATTACTGTTTTTTTTTTAATTTTACCACCTCATTGTTTACAGAATTGCTTAGAATGGGATTTCTTACCGACAAATTCCAATTTATTACTGCCCACACGTAACCGCTCGTTCAATAATTTATTTAACGCCTATTTAATTATTTTCCTGCTCAATTATATATTCACTGATCCATTTCATCATTTTTATTACTCATTTTTGTTTACTTTACTGCTTCATTTTAACTGCTGAACTAGTCATTAAACGTCTCATTTATATTTTTTAACTTACCAAAACGGATATTTACAAGTGCCTCTTTAAATCAGTGCCATAATTTTAACAATAAAACCAGTAAAAATGTGTTAACACGAAAACCTTAAATTTAATAAAACCGTGAAATAATTAAGCTTACTATTTTAATGTTACAATTGGGGAAATATTATATTTGTTATAATTTCAATTATTTTTGCATAAATACTCTCCTAGCCAACGATTTTACAAAAAAGAGAATAACTAGTATTTTATACAGTCTTTTAATAAAGCCTGTAAAGGTGTGAAGTTTCTGAGGTTTTGGATTCATCTCACTATACAGCATTTAGGCTAATATTTATTTCCATGATTAATTATTTGCGTCTCTGTCTTGGATACAAACCCACTTACTTCAGTTTCTTAAGCACCACGTTCGAGGAAAATCCAATTACAACGCAAAGCTCGTTTGTTAACCCTCGCAGCCTGTTACCTATCCTTTATCTCTGCAACTTGATGGAGAACGTTTATATTGACGGTATTATTATATTGGATATGTTACCGAAATATATGGGCAATATGAGTGGTACTTAGGTATACTTAATTACTAATTAGCTGCTACTGATTTTCCTATAGTCAAGACCTTATTTTATACCAAGCAATTTATTTACAAACTACTTTTTGCTGAATTTAAATGCAAAATTCTCTTTTGATAATATCTATTTTTAAAAAAGTGTTTAAAAAAATTTATTCATATGTTTGTTCACTCTCAAAACTTATATATTTTTTTATAAAATTGTTAATAAATATGAAATTTAATATAAATATATGTGCACAGTGTCTAATCTAGGCGGATTATTGATAAATAAAAAAATACTTCGAACTTTGAAATCGCATTACCTCTTACAATTGCAGTACTTGTGTCGTGTCTATGAATATTAAATAATGGTTTGAAATATTATCTAATTTGTCTTGGTTGAAAGTTATCTCATTTAAACAGCCTTTAGTTGGCGATCTAGCTATTTATCTAATTTATATGTATCTCCAATTAAACATATTTCAAGATACGCAATAAACTAATGGTTTACCTTTTCCATTGATGGCGAGGTTAGCGGGCGTATCGTCCACCTCATCAGATAGTTCGCCGTCACTGTGTGGCTGCGCCCGCGCCATCGAGCCGACGCAACGCCTCTCGTTGAATGACTGCGATCGCAACGCCATCTTGCCGTTCTCTCTGTAAAATGTCAAATTTTTATAGCTATAAAAATTGTGAATGCTTATAATGAAATCAACTTTAAACTTCTTCTTTTAAATTATCAAATATTTCGTTAAAATATGAAATAAATATTGTGTTGATTTATTAACTGACCAAGGAAAAAAAAACTGTATAAAATTTGTCACTTGGATATTTCACTATGTATTTGTGATATTCAGTATTATTTTCGCAAATGCTTTTGAGCCTGCACTTGTTAAAAATATGGAAAAATCAATTTCATTCTTATTTAGGTATTATATTTACATTTGAGGAATAACTATAGTATAACAGGATATTACACATTAGATACATATTGACCTAATAACAATATTTGAAAATTTTATTTCGAATTAAATATATATATACATATATATATTGCTGTTGATTTATATGGTTAAGCTTAAATGCTTTCGCAAGCATGGCGTACTTAATTTCGAACCTCCAATCAAAATTTGACAAATATCTTTTTTTTTTCTTAGCGAAACTCTACGTGATAATGATTAGTGTTCTTTAGTTGGATTCGTCTAGCAGTTTAAGCGTTTATCGGTCAGTTAATCAAGTTTCTACAAAGAACGCCATTTCATCTTCTAAATGGTTATGCATCATTTTCTATTCTTCTTAATTAAGCAGTTAGTTTCATGGTTAATTTAAGTCCAATTGGAATAACAAACTTAATCAAAAAGTATCTTACCTAGGTCTATAGTCGGGAAGGCGTGTCGAACGTCGTTCCCTTCTCCATTTGCCCGTTAATTCCTTAGGTTGGGGTGTCCTTGGAGCCTCCGGGGATAGAGTTCTATCGCCTTCGGACTCTCCACTTGAGGCTGTGCTCGGAGTCTCTGTAAGTAAAAAAAAACTTGGTAATTTGAATCTAGCTTTGAAATAATGCCTAATCAAAACGAACGGGGTTGCTCCCAACTCTCTAGCCACAACATCATTTTATAATTTGATAAACGACTAAGATGGTAACACATCATTCTTTATCATTAGTGTTTTATTGTGCTTTATAGCATTTCTCCGACGTAAAAAAAGCGGTAACATCTCAAAATTACACATGATATGATAACTTAACCGTATGTACAGTATTCAGATCAGTAGCTGTATTTTCGATTATTATAATATTTTCTAGCAATAATAACAACATCAAAGTGAAAAAACCATAAACAATTTGTGTAATAACTGTAGACACTAGAGCAATTAATTAATTGCTAAGAAACGAAGGCAAAAAGTATTTATGCCTACCATCAAAAGCCCCTGCTTTATAAAGTAAAATTTGTTTGTTGGTCAATTTTCTTGGAATGTCTGGATTGTCGATAACGCTGTACCTTGATAGGTACCTATTGAAAATTTTTAATTGAATTCAGCGAACCCTTATCTCGACCAGCCCTCCCTCATTTTTTCGCTGAATACAAAGTAAACTTGTTTAGGAAAATTTAATCAATTTATAAAATTAATCAAACATTTGAGATAAAATGGATTCCAATTATTTAACTGTTGCTTGTTTTTTTATAATAGCAGTTAATATAATGATAGATTCGAGTATGTTTTAATTTATCAAATAACATCAACGCTATCAAAGAAACTAACCTTTACCTGGTGAAGACACCCAAGGTTGCCAAAGTGGCAAATTAAACTTCGGAGACTGAGGAGGTTCCATCGAAAGGTGATGTAGATTATTTAAGGAAGTCCGGGCCAGTAAGAACAGATACGTCGGCAGTTCCATCATCACAATACATCGATAACCAATCAACACTGAATCACGCTAAAAATAAATAGTATCACATCCTAATGCATCACACTCCGATCAGATGAAGATTTTCACAAAATTGATTATACGAATGAAAGAGGTGATTTTAAATATTAAAAACACAATTGAAATACTTCTGTAGTAAAAGGCGCCAGGATTTCCTATAGACAAGGCATTAGCGTCCCGGCACAGGTAACACTGAAGGCCGACTGAATAAAAAATGAACTGGAAGAGATTACATTGGAATAAATAAATGAGATGAACAAAAAACAAACCGAAAAGGAAAAAGAGCATCGCGCTACATCCACGCGGCCGGACGTTGCGGCGCTTCCTTCGAACCTTTAGTTCACAGGATGATGAATGAATGTAAGCTAAAGAAATAATCTTAGAATTATTTCCCGTTTTCAATTCCGATGTTCAGTAAAAGACGCTATATCAAACCGTTAACGGCTAACTAGAAACAGTTCGTATTAAGCAAATGCAAATGTTGAATGTTTGTGAAGTATGCCTTACACTCAAATTGCCTCACAAAGATGTGCCGATTAGCACTTCAACATTCAAATCGATCACCTCTGTCCTCAATATGAATACACAAAGGAAATGATGACATTACAATATTTTTAAGTATGTACTCTGAGCACAGATGAAAAGATTCTTTGAAGTCGATTCGTTAATCGAGGTCTTTGTAAACACTTTTTCAAATATTTATAACATGATGTAACAAGACTGTTTGGTATTCACAATGGCTATAATAGATATCGATACTGAATACTGTATTCCAGTAGATACAGCTTCAACGTGCTTGAAGTATTATGATATAAAATAGATTATGTCTGATTTATCTAAACGATAACATATTTCTTAAAGTCTATATGATTTTATATTACTTAAAGAAAATGAGAATCCAGTTTCGAAAAATACAGGATATTACTAACTTCATTTTTGTTCAATCGTTCGTTTCATCCTGTATTTAGAATACATCAACCTGTTCGGTCCATTCATGAAAGTGCGTGAGCGCAGGGCGCGGGGATTAATGAACCCCCGCACCCTTCTACCTTTCCTCGTCTCGACAACCTCCAAATCGTATGATGCTACTGCAAAACCGAACTATATGTCAATGACGCTTGGTATTATTCTTATTTGCATTATACATCAAGAGTTACGCTACACAAAATTGGGAGTTATTAACATATGTGTAGAGTCGGATTTCATTCGGAATATTGGACAGTTGAGTTTTAAATTACGGTGGTTGTATCCTTGGAAGGTTGTTTTTTTTCTAGATCGCGGGACGAGGTAACAGCGGGGCGAGGTGGTACTGTGAGAAGTTGCCGCGCATCTCGAGGCCGTATAAGCATTAGCTTTTTGTTGTAAAGCGAAAGAAAAGGCACCGACACAGGTAGGCTTTGGCGCCGTTGTTTTAATTATGTCTAGTCAATTTGCTGAATAGAAAGAAATTTATAAACAGATTTACTTCTTCGCGATGGAAATATTGCAACACTGATTGAAATAGGAATAAAAATTGGTAAATCAGCCAAGAAAGCGGAGTTCTTAAAATTAGTTTAAAAATGCATTTTTGACAAACTTCAAACCAAAAAGAAAAAGATTCTTGATCTGACTATATGTTTGTATTGTATGAATGTCTGGCCATAACTTTAAGGTTTATGAATATATTTTAACGTATTTTTTGTTTCATTGGGTATACTTTCAAACTGATTCCATAGAAATTTAATTTATATTGATTGATAGAAAGAAGTATGTCGTTTGAGTATTTGGAAGTTGATTTTAGTAGTCTTAAGTTATAAAGCAATTATAGCTTTATCACAGTTGATAGAATCCATGTACATATATCTTCTCTACGTGAGCAAGAATTATTTCAATTATTCGAGTACACCTCAAAGGAAGCGTTTCGAACTGCGATGGAGTTAATTATACTACGTTTATATATTTCCTTGTATCTTTTATTTTGTTTTATCGAACTATTGAAGCGTAACAACTGAGGTTCTATTGCCACTACATTATCGAGATTGGTTACGTAGTTTATTAAACTGCCCTGCATTTAGTTATGAGATTTACAATAAGTATAATAAGTTATTTTAAAATATAATTATAGAATTAATTTTGATAATATATTAGCCACATAAAATTAAAAATATATACCGTACAAATTATAGTAGTTTACGGTATTAAAAAATATTGACATGCTTATTAGGAAACGTGACGATATCTAAGCTTTTCTTTAATGTATAGATTTACAATATTTCTATATTGTTTATTTAAACAACACCACATACAACACTCAGATGAAGTAGCATTTTTAGCACTTGTTTTATAAAAAACCCCAAACAAAGAAAATAAATATTAATTATCCCGATACTTGAAACTAGCATGCAAGTACGAATACATTTAAGTTTTATTCTTTAAGATTTAAGTTTCATTTGCAGTAAATTCCTACATAGAAAATTAAAGTATTATTTGAACGAAAAAATTTAATTTATGAAATGACTATCCGTTTTCCTGCGACTTCGCCCGCGTATGATGTGGAACAATATTCATGATCCGATCAGTGTTTCCGAAAATTAACCCCTACAATCAAATAAAACTAAGTTAGAAACTTTACCTGTTTATAATATTGCTTAAGATTCGAATATCCTTTATTTTGCTGTAGAGATATACGTATACCTAATTATCATGCTAGTGCAACAATACTTAAGGTAGAACTGAATTATTTGATATTAAAGCTAAGTAGAGAAATAGAATAACTGTAATAATTACTGATACTGACAATAATTGTTCCGCTAGAGTTGAATTTATTCACTGTAGTAGTTAGAAATACCACAATAAGTTAGACATTGGTCGGATGTAACTAATTCGGAGAACACCAGCGGCTCCTTGGGCCCGCATCCGTTCAGTTTTGAACGCATTTATACTAAGTTAGCATATGAATGTGTATATGGGAGCTGCTTATCTGCACGCATACCCCAATTTGATTTAATTTCACACGGTACTGGTACATACAAGCGTAAAAATAATTACGCTGAATACAAATACAGCGTTATTATTTTTACAGAAAGCAAATTTCATATTTTTATGTCCAAGACTGAAAAAAATGCGTACTGGAATCGCCATAGTGGATCGTGATATTAAAGAGGCGTAAGCACCAAAAATGAAAAAATAACTGCATCGTATTTCTGAGGATCCATATTTCTCATTTTTTTTTAGTTTCTGCCCTGTGATTCCTGTCGTGTCAGATTAATACTGTAGGTGTGGTGGTAATGTATCGTGCAATATTATGCACTAGCTGCTTCACCCGCAGCTTGTGTCTCACCGCAGCAAATTACAGCTTGTGTCATTCGCATATGATGCAGCTTCCCGGAGTTGAAAGAATTTTTCAAATCGTTCCAGTAGTTATGGAGCATATTCAATGTGTACAAAGAAACAATCAAATTTTTCTTCTTCATAATATTAGTATAGAAAATTAAGGTGTAATTTACAAAAGTTCAATTGTATCAGAATTTCAAAGTCTACTCACGATTTTTAACGTAACCTTTTCATAATAAAAAGGGACACGATCCTTTCGAGTCTACCGTTTTAAAAGCGGGCATCTGTTTGCAAGCAGAGCAGTATAAATTATAATAATCATAAAGCAGTGTATAATATATTATTTGTGTAATTCAGGCAGTCAAACGAGGCAGAATCGCTCCGAGCATGAGCGCACGCAAACAAAACGAGTCGAAGACCTGCCGCCTTTAAGGGGCATGCATTCCTCAAGTTACATTTACATACATTCCTCGTACTAGCCATACGTCCAAGCAAATTCGCATTCTTATGCATTTTAAATACAATACTTCTTTCTCATATTTAAAAATGTCTGTAAATAAATTTTATTTAGAATTACTAAGGAAACAAAATTATAAACGTCGACAATATCATTTAGGTTATTGTCAAGTTATACCATGATGACAATGTTTCCGACAGCTGTCATAAAATATTGTGACGCGCCGTTGTTTCAGACAGTTGTCATAAAATACACACTGTTGAGGATGCTGTATAAATGCTTCATAATGTAAAATAACTTTCTACACTTATTACAGA